GTTCATTTTTCCTTTATGGGATTAATCGAAAACGTTTCAAAAGTCTGTGATGTTTTGGATTCCTGTGCAAGGATAGTGAATTTTACTTCAAAATCTTCTCTGTCATGTTTCTTTGTTTTATGAGCGCTTAGTGAAGTGTTTGCTTTCAATCTAATTTATCTACTAAGTTTTCTTTTATACGGACGCAGAATGGTTCGAACCAGTTTGGCCAATGTTTTCGTACCGACATGCTCTACAGGAGATTAGATACACCGTACCCGAACTCATGCGATCACCATCTCCACGATTAAGGCATATGGTGCGATTTTGCGCTGTGCATAGACAGCCATTTGGAGGGTCACCAACTAAGTGGTGTCTTAGAGTTCTCAGTATTAAATCACTGTTATCGAATTTTCCGGACCGGTCCTTCTTAAGTAACGTTTAAGGCTGCACTTATTCCATTTGAAATGAAGGGCGGGATAAACGGGGTCTTATTCTCGCTAAAATTATCGTTTTGGGGCGTCGTTTTAGCTCTACACTTATCCCGAAAAACTGTTGTTTGGAAGCGACTATTTGCTGCGCTAGTTTCAAGGATTCCTCCTTCTGCTCTTCTTGTGCACACACTTGTGGCTGTTCGAAACATATTTACTACAAAAGCCGCTTTGTTGTGCGAGGTGTGAGAGAGAAGGTAATGAACTAGCCTATTTTTTCTGCTTAGCCTTTGGTGCTTGATAGCAGATACTTTGTGATGCAGCCGTTTCGGCATAGGTTAATTTGGACGCTAAGAAATGTTCATTCGATGAATTTAAATATTCGTCCGTCTCTTCTTGCAATGAGCAGAAGAAAAAACAACTATCTACAGTAGAGATTCTACAGAGGTCGGAGATTGTTTACTGGTGCTTCCACCTTAGAGATAAAGACAATGGCAAGACTTGATGGCAGTCGCTATCCTATAGTCAACCCCCTCCTTTTTGTGTAGTATTTTCCAAAACATCTAAGGACTGAGCAGTTTAGACACTTTTTTAGAAGATCCATGAGCTGCCGAATTTAGAAGCGATACGTGTTTATTATTTTTCGAGAGAGATGTAGTAGAACAACCACGACCTGCCTATCCATGGGGGAGATTGCACAATATGCCCTAACGGTAGAGAGGAGTGTGCGCGTTTGGGTACGATGTACTTAATCTCTTGCGAGGCATGTAGAAACGAAAACATGGGTAAAATAAATCTAAATTGAAACCAAACGGTCCACTAGGCGCGCATAGAACAAGGAAACATAACGAAGAAGGTTTCGAACTAAATGCTACTATCCTCGCTCAGTAATCCAAATCATTAAAACGCGTGAAATTTCCGAAATGTTCTGAATAAATTCCAAAAATCCAGGCATAAACAGCAAGGAGGAGTGCTTTGTGATTACACGTAACCTAGCGCCATACTTCAGGGTGATTTTTGACCTCAGCCAGGCACATTCCTCGCCCATACGAGATCCAGTGAGGCTAGTCTCCACCAGATAGCTGGAAAAGCTGCAAAGAACAAAACCGTAAGTGTCTCAAAAAAAGTTGTTTGTTATGCAAATAAAAAGTTATGCACGACATTTTGTCTGCTGTGCTTATCAAAGTGTTTGACTGAGTAAACTTCACATCAATTTGGCCTTTCCAGGCTTTGAAAAAGGCGAAACTGCTAAGAGGTAACTACTATGTATTAATAAATTCTGTGATAACAACCATGTGTTTGTTAGTCAAGAAAAAGCGCGAGATGTCTGCATAACGTTAACCTTTTATTTGTACCTGCTACAATTTTTCACCACAGAGTATAACGTGAAATACAAGCACAAAGACCAATTACACAGTTGCTACTAGAAAGGGTAATCGTACTTTGATCTGGCCAGGGGTACACGTTTTGCGAATATATCTGCATTATTGTCTGCATAGGCCCATGCGTACTCCAGGAGAGATTAACAAGCTACCCGTGAGCATAATGCGGCCATCTCGCTGAGAGCTTAATGAGGTATAAATGGCAAACTGTAGAAAAAGGGCGACTCACTTTTGTAACCACGCAAGAGCCCTCATACGGCATCGCTAGTTAGGACAAGTGGGGATAGGTTTTTACAATCTCAGTGTACCAGAGTTGCCTGGGAATAGTTCATTCTCTGTCATCCATATGGGAAGGCTAAGCCAGGCCGTCTCAAAACTCTAGGAAAAGTCGACTCCGTCAGCATTCAGTGACGTTCTTGGCGATAGGAAAATCCTCAAACAGCTGCTGACCCACACAGAAAAAGTGAAAAGACGTTCGTAGATGGTAGATGCAGAGAAACGAATCGAATGAAAGAACTGCTGAGACCTCCACAATAGATGTTAAAGAAAAGTGGAAATAAAGCGTTTGCAGGCAATAAGCTAGCGACCTAAGCTTGCAATTCATAGACAAGTCCACCCGAGCCGTTATTTGAGAACCTGTCGATAAAAGCTAAGAAAATTGGGGCACGACGTTGTGGACAGGCCGAAACGGCAACACATTTCCACATGGTTCTGTCTCTGTCTGATGCCGAAAAGTGTTTTTCAGAACATGCTACAACAGAAGAGTGGCAACATTGGTGCCCTTGCAAACACGAGTTTGGCATGGATATCAGTTTATTGGAACAACTAACAACTTAAATTAGATGGTCACTGTTGAATGTATAAGGACCGATATCAAGTCTAACAACAGTCGTCATCTACTACTGAAATTTAGCTCTGATGAAAAGGAAGCACTCTACAAGCATTCTTTATAGACGGAGATGTTTTACAGGAACTATCATACCTTTGCTAGAATGACCATTAACTACTTCAATGCTAAGTTGGACCCGTTTGCACAAAAAGAAGGACTTCAAGGAGATTGGCAACTACCGAGTACCCAATTCGCCTGCTGCCTGAAGTCTACGAACTGTTCACGTGATCCTTATGAGGATTGCCAAAAGAGTGAACGGAAGAACAAGTATAGTTTCGAAAAGGATATATTACGAGGCACTATATCCACACGATAGCGGTGCTCATTGAAGTAATGCGAGAGCACAAGAGAACGCTCTGTTCCAATTTCGCCGGCATAAAAGTCATTTGACTTAATGAAGACAGAAGCAGCTATGAAAGCTGCTACGCTATGATTCTTCTGGTATCATCGTAAGCTTCGCTAATTAGGTCGCTACCTAAGTAGGAACGAAGATCACACTAGATTAGCGAAGAAGTAGCCAAGAGAATGATGCATACGCTATCCCGTATCACGCAACTGAGAGGAGGAAAACAAAGTTCCCACTTACGTCAACGATCAAAGATCGAAGATGCTGCTGTACAAGCTAAAATGTTGAAAACTGATGTGCAGGTCACATAGTACATTTAAACCACAACTGATGGATAAGAACGTTTAGCGACGTGCTTTCACGTGATCTATACGTGAGTAGGATGGCTAACGACCCATTGGAGCTCTTCACGAAAGGCCTAAAGGAAACACATGACACTCAGCGAATTTCCAAAGTGAGCAGTACCCACTGGACTACTCTTGCATAAGAGTGGACAGTTGCAGATTTTATCGGCCTTTGCTGGTGGTTTCTACTCGCCTCCCAACGGTTTACCACCTCATCATGGCTGAGAGGTGTTTCTAGGTGTCAGGCTACGATGTACACCGAGGATGCATTCTCCTGACAAGGTCTCCCAAGCTGAGAAAGAGTCCAACGTTTCCGTCAGGAAGCCCAGCTAAGAGTAAACCAATACCAGGATTCGCCAACGTCCTGCTATCAAACTAGTCGCATCGTGGCACATCTTCCTGTGATCCGCAAGGGTTGCGGCTGCCTATGGCGGTAACAACCTGGAGCAGACTTTAGCCAGGCTGACCTTGAGACTCTAGAGAACCACAATGCCTAAACCAGCAAATGTTCGGAGAATGGAAATTATGCTGGAGTCTACACAACAAATGAAGACGGACCATCCAAGCATTCAAAGCAAGTATAGGATTCTACTCGAGTCCCTCGTCATCATCAAGCAGTTGAATTGATTTATTTCATTTCAATTCCAATCGCTAGGGTAGTCAAAATCGTTGTATAAGATTGACGGACAGAAGACATGGAAAGAAAGGTAAACCAAAATACACCTCGCAGTTACGAGAAAACCTTAGAGAAAGATGAGAACAGTGTAGAGGGATGGTAAATGAGTTTTTTCACAAAAAACAAAATTTAGATATGTTTAAAAGTATGCAAAAATACATATTGTATGACGTAGAGGGTGCGCGCAGTACAACTTATTTATCTGTTTATTTTACAAGACCCGTCTTTTACATCTACTGTGCGGAGCTCAGCTGTTTTTTCATTCGACATGTTATGACGCATTCATCGTCATCGAAGCTCGTCTACCTTGTTCGTGCAGGTTCCACTGCTCCTTGAGAATCTTCCTACTGTCATAAATTTCGTTGAATGAATGAATCGTTAAATGGTGTCGTTTGATGTTGCCAACTCGATTTTCCTTGGAGTAATGAGGTGGCCTGGTTAGAGCATTCCCATGTCGATTGCAAAAACTGAATACTTTCCAGGCAAGTCTGGCACCACTTTCCTGACACGGAAGGGATGATAGGCTTGGTGTGCATTGGGCAGGTTCGAACCAGCACCGTGCTTGTTTTAATTGGACTCAGTATTACTTTGTTATCCGTTCTCTAACGCAACAATTACCGAAAAAGTGAAAACCCAATTGTAGAGCAAAACATGAAACCAAAAAAGCGATGTGGTTTTCAGTAACTCACTCTGGCAGTTGTAGCTCACATCTGAGTCATCGTATGAAAGGACTGAAATAAGGCTCCGTCGTATGCGTACTAGGTAAATCGTGTACGCTAGTGAGCTTCACTTCTTGCAAACTACCGCGCTGAACTTTTGTTGAGTGCCGTAGTCTTGGTTCAAAACTTGGGTAATAAGCCTTTACATAAACAACACGGCCTCAACGATAAAAACTCAACAGGATAGAGAGAAAACATAAATGAGATAAACAGCAACTTGATAAGACTGGAGAGATGCCAAGAATAAAAAATGACATCAAAATTATGAACCAGGTCTCTGCGATGGATGCGTGAAAAGTTGTGAGAAGCAAGGGATGCATATTGTAAAGAGAACAGGAGCCATGATCTAATGAGAATAAGTAGCGTATTAGGAAGATTGAGCTAATGAGTCAGTAGCAATCCTCCCATGGTTTCCATGACAGAGCCTTACGGCAACAAGTTTGGTACATCACGACATGCCTAATGCGCAGCTTACATGACAATACGACTAGATTGAGAATATTTTTTGCAAGGTAACAAGTAGCGCCCATACTACGCTCGTGCTGCATAGGATTAAACGAGGTTGCAATTGTGTTAATTTTAAATAAAACTAAAAGATTCACTGTATTAACAACAAGATTGGGACCAGCTTTCTGAATCACCGTGCCGATTTTTTCTGCGTATACGGCATGTTAATTAAATCTAGAGTGGCAAAAAAAATATTCGAAAAGTACTATTTTCTACTTTTTTATCAGAGTACATCTCAAGTTGGTGAATTGGCGGATGCCATGCTGCTCTATGCTAATGCATTGAATCGCTCGTTAGAAGCCGGATTATCGAATCCTACTGGCAGAGAACTGGTGAAATTCGCAAAAGGAAGTTTCGAAGGTAAACAAAGAAATTCAAACTATTCTACTAAGGCAAGTAACGAAGTATTGACACCGTCTCCAGAGTGACTAAACTGCAATTTTGAGATGGCTTAAAATGATGAAATATCCGAAAAATATTCTTGGCTGAAGAGTTAAACTAACTGTGCACATATAATATCACCTTTTTCTCACATAAACTCGTAAATTATCGAGTGAATCGAGCAAGCACCCGTAGAGTTCATATTTTTCTAGTTAAGCCAGTTGATCAGGTCATTCCACCCACTCAAAAGCTACGGTGAACACCACACCTTTCCAGGACATCTTTTGTTTTAATAGTACTTGACGATAAAGCGGATAAAGAAAACAACATCCTTTTCACTGCCATGACAAATTGACTTATAAATCAAGGCGCGACAAGTGGACTACTGTTCTTCCTCAACCACGGACATCTCTCATGGAAGGATCTCATGCCTGTTAGCTTCGAGGCAACATATCGCGTCTCAGGTGCTGGATAAGGGCTTAATCGCGGATCAAAGGCTATACTTTCCTGTAGCACTGGCGAATTCAGGATATGGATTCCTTATTTCAGCCGCCCCAATATGAAAAATATGCTCTGTGTTTACGAAGAAATATTCATGCATAACTATGTGATTGTGTTCTCGTTCATGCGTACTTTACTATAGGAGTCAATCCGGCCAAAACTTTGCAATCAAGCGACTGAAAAATATATGGAAGGCGGTTAGAAGTTAGAAAAAATAAGCTTCTCATCTACTCTAGGAGAGACGCAGGTAACTAACTGGTGGGTTTACCTAGCCGCGACGTTCAGAGTTTAGCAAGATATATGCGGGTACCAAAAGCTAAACATAGTAAAACAGGTGAACCTCATTTTTCTCAACTTGGAAGAGCTTTATGATACGTCGGCGTTGGTGAGGACGAATACGAAAAGAGTGTTGAAATTTCTAGGCCATTTCAGGCTGCCCATTTCTCGAAGCACAAAGGTGAGGATCTGTACCGACAATACACGCCAACACGAATCAGAGTTCTATATACAGGAGCTAATCATGCAGTGAAGAAAGACAAGACATAACGCTATCAGATTGGCTGGGACGAGAAAACGCGGCCAATTCAATCCCCAAAGGGGAAGAATCGTTTCTAGGAACATGCGACGATAAGTAGGGGCAGCTCTCGCCAACGCGTTTTCGGCATGAGCGTCATTTCGTTTAAAATTTTAACAACTCTCACCGGACGTTTACGGTTGAAGACACCTGGAATAACACCGGCCTTCACAACCTTCGTCGTTTACCAACGGAGATTAAGCCATGACGAAACGATGCCGAAACATTCTACCTGGACTTGGAGAAGTTCTACAGAGAAGACGATACATTATTCAAGATTACCAGTGAAGAATTATACGCTAAGATTGGACTCAAACGTGTAGGGTGAGCGGCTGCCTGAGTTTGTCATGACAAGCAAGACCATACAGGGCAACTCCAACTCCAGAAGCTCTGCTGACAATGCTAGACATGCAAGTCTCACAATAAACAATGTCATAACGAAATAGGCCACATAATACTAAAAGTAGATTTTGCCTAATTGATACCATTGACGACTCAAAATTTTAAGCGGTACCGGAATTTGTCCTCTTCGCTCAAGATTCTACTACCCGCGGAAAAAAAAGGAAGCTTCCAAATTTTAAATCCAAGTTGAAATAGTTGAAATACCACCGGTTACTCTACGTCGACAATTAGTACGCAACCGCCTGTATGACCGTCTGTGTGAAACAACAAATTACGTAATTTGCCCTTACGGCAGGGACGGCGATTGCATGAGTTCAGACGATATACCTGATCCCTTGTAATAATTGCGGAGATGAATATATTGGCGAAACGGGCAGACCTTTGTGTATCCGTATAAAAGAACACCTAGATGGCAAACGAAAACTAAGTCGAAGCACCCCACTAGGCACGCATAGGATACAAAAGCATAGCGAAGACGATTTTGAAGTAAAAGTCAATATCCTTGCACAGGAGTCCAAAACACCAGCGCGAAAACTTCTTGGGGCTTTTTGGATAAATGCCAAAAACCCTACAATGAATAGCAGGGACGAATGCTCGGAGGTCATACCCGACCTGGCCCCGTATGTTGCATCAATTTCTGTTGTGGGATGATGCAGCCATCAACCATATGCGACTATAATCAGTTGTTCTAAACTTCCTCATTGGAAGTCACGAAAAAGCGGTGAGTTTTTCGAGAAGTTGTTGATCATGTAATTACCGGAGTTTTCGTTTTTTTGTAAGTGTTATTGAAGCGTTTGGCCTAGTAGATTGTATATCAGTATACCCTTCCAGGCTCTGAAGAAGGCGATACTGCCGAAACGTCAGCTAGCGTTGTATTGCATTGTGTTTCCCTATGGAAGTAAATGTATGCTGTTTAAAAACCTCGCGATTGCTGAACAAGAAAACGACACTCATATTCCAATGCCGAGGTTAAGAGAAAGTCGATCTTGGGAACTATTAAAATCCAAGTTCCAAAACCAGCACAAACCAGGGTTTATCCAATTCAATAGTCGAGTTTTGTGAAGGTGGCGCTCTTTAGAACATCGAAGAGGAATACGATGAGCCCTTACAACATCTTGAATTCGTCACCACGAAACTTGATAGTTCGAAATCACCAATGACGCCTTTCCGCTGAAATAAATGAAGTGATAAGCCAATTCTCAATACCGTTGTTGAGCAAACGTGAGAGGTTATGTTATTTTATTCTTTATTCAAGAACAAACTGACGTTTCGGTCGATTTCGCCTTCCTCAGAGCCTGGAAAGGTTAAGTTGACTGTAATCTACCCAGTCATCCCACAACGAAACAGAGATGATGCTAAACCAAGATTTCAATCTCACTAAACATAGAATAGCTTCTTTGCATATTCACCGCTTTTTATGAGTCTTCCACTGATTATGTCACGTGGAGAGCAGCAGCTCAGAGTTTACATCGAAGCGTTATGTGTTCCTCCCACTAGGATAATAGGTTTGAATACTGCCCAACACCACGCGTAATTATGAAGCATTCCTCCATGCGGTTCATTTTCGGATTTCTGGAATTAATCCAGATTGGCTCAATAATTTTGCGCTCTTGTATTTTCGATTCCTGGGCGAGGATCGTAACTTCTACTTAGCAATCTTCTCCGTTATGTCTCAGTGTCCTACGCGCCCTTAGTGGAGTACTTGATTTCACTTTAAGTTTACCGATTAAGTATTCTTTTATACGGATGCAAAGTGGTCTACCCGTTTCGTCACTAATGTATTCGCCTCCGCATGCCTTACGAGAGATCAGATCAATTGTACCCAAACTTATGCAGTCACCATCTTTACCGTTGGGGTAAATTATGCAATTTTGCAAGACCGTGAAAACGACGGTAATTACACGACCTAGGCGATAACACTTAGGAAACCAGATGCAAAATTTACTGCTTCTAGAAAAGCAGTGGTGAGAACCAGTCACGATTATTACCCAGATCTCTTCAATAGCCGCATTCTCCTGCTCTCATGCGAAATGAAGAGGAATGGAAATGTTGTCCCACCTGTTCTCTCTTTCGAAATCCGACATGTCGTTTCGTCGGTGAGGAGTAGAACAAAACGCCATGTTCTGACAAGGCAAAACACCTCAAGAACTTTCCGCCAGCCATCTGATAAACACACTGGCTCGGCTGTTCTCCCTCTTCCTGTCAGAATGCGAGATTCCCACTCAGTGAAAGAGCAGAAAGACCGTATTATTGTTCATGAACGATGAGCTCCACGATATTGGCAACTGTCATTCAATCTGCTCGCTGTCTACCGTCCACAAACTTTTCACCGAAGTCGACTTGAACAGGATTGACAAAACACTGGACCAAGGACAGCCACGTGTGGAAGTAGTGTTTCGTCACACAGTAACAGACTCAATGAGGTGTCGCGAGAGCACAAGAGACTGCTTCGTCTGAATTTGATCTATCTGAAGAAACCTTGGATTCAATGAAGACAGAAGCAGTCATTGAAGGTCTGGACAGGTGGGGGTCTTTCGACTCGATATAAAAAGATTCTTCGTTAGCTATGTAAGAATTTCGCAACCAAAATATCACCTTTCTAAAATGACATTAACATCGACGTAAAAGTTGTGCTCAGGAGGGCGTTACTATCTTGCCAAAATTGTTTACCGACATATCCCAAAACGCCGTGCGGAAACTGAATAGCAGAACGTGGGCTCGAAAATCGGTAGCCAAGCGCAACGAATGCTTGCCGAGTTTGATAACACCCGTGGGAACATTTGTCTTCGACTAAATCTCAAAAACAATGTTCATGAGGAACGGATTGGTTACGCATGCCCAATTCACCCTCAACGATAAGAATATCTCCAAATGATTCAGTAACTCCTATCTAAGCCGAGAGGTCAACATGATGAAAAACTTAGCTGTAGAGTTGAGTGGAAGTAAGCGGTGTTAGGAGTTTTCATGAGTAATACAGTAGAATAAACAAAGGGCACCGGACTCTCTCCCCACCCTCTCGACTCCACGACTCCACGACCCCACTCCACGATCTTCACTAATGTGTGCGTTAGAAACTTGATCGTTGCCCAATTAGAATGATTAGAATCGGCGTTATAGAATGCGCAGTCGAAAAGACCATGCTAGGAGCATCACTCATCACGCAACTAAGGAAAGTGATCCGAAGCTCTGAGTTTCTTAAACTATCAAAGATTAAAGACACCGTTCTATACGCCGAACTTCCGAAAATAAGGTTGTCCGGACACGTAGTGCGCATAGACAACAATCGATCGACAAGAGCCGATATTTCCAGGATTCTTCAGAATTTCAAACGCACAGCAGGGAAACCCTATGGGCAATGCTTTTCACTAAAACCTTAGAAGGTGGATGGAATGCTGAACTAATTCCTAGAGAGAGCAGAACCCACTGAGCTAGTTTTGCACGCTGCAGAGTTAAATGGAAGGTTTAATTGCACCCGTTTGAATTATTCGGAGATCAAGAGAGGAACAGGAGACAAGTAAAGTTGATGTATTGGTCATAGATATGTATCATTGATTATCTCAATAAATCTTAGGTTTCTTCGGCACCGTAACCATCAACGAACGTTTAACTCAAAATTCTGTGTTCTTGGTTTATGGACTAGACTCTAATGATAAAGAAATTATACTAATGAGAATCGCCGAACAACTTTTGAATTCGAGTGCATCACTAGTAAGTTATATCTATCATAGCATACAGACTGCTAAAAGAGCTACTTTTTGCCAAGATCAGATTCAAGACCTCCAGCCGACGTCGGTGATTTGGACAAATCATGGTGGCTCTCCTCCACTGAATCGACCACTGTGCGACTATGACGGGTTTGTTAACTAATCTTTTTTCGATTTTGTTTCAGTCTAGTAGAAACTAATTCTTAATATGTAGTTACAGAAAAAAAAATCGGGGATGTGTATGGAAATGTGATGAATTATAATACCAGAATGGCGTGATTTGGACGGTCTCTGCACCAGCTCCTTAGACATGTCTTTATAGAATCACCATAAATGAATAACTGAAATAATTTCGCGCTGAATAACAATGACATAACTGAAAATGAAGGGCGAGTGTGGTGCAGTGGTCGGAGGCGCTCTGCAACACGCAGGTGGGATTGATCCCCGCCCCCGTGGTCCAGCTGGCCTTACATCCCTCCGGGGTCGGCGAATTGGTACCAGACTTGTCTGAAAGGATAGCAGCACTGCATCGATACATCGGTAGGCCACCGCGAGTCATTGCAAAGGCCAGATATGCATTCAACCACCTCCAAATGATGTTTAATGAAGTTAAATGCATGGCACATCCCACAAGAATTGATCAACGCCGAGTGTTATGTTTTTTATACCTTCTACCATAACTAAACAATGGTTCAATTGTTTGCTTTATTTAAATAAAGCTCGTCGTAGGAGGTCTCTATACAATAGGAAAAATCCATTCTCATCATTCAACATTTTTATCCAGTAAGAGGATTACAGGCATTCGTCATTAAGTTGACGAGTTGATTAAAATAACAAAATCTTTTCATTTTCTTCGATTTTCTCAAAATTCTTAAGGAGCGCCTGTCCGCCGTCGTTCACTGAGAAGTACTTGGCCATAACACTTGTCGCCACCATCGTGCCAGTCGTTGTCGCTGTCGTTGCAGTCCTCTTACTTTCAAGGTTTTCGTTAACTCTTCCCTTTTACTAGCATATGAAAAACGCCTAGAACAATGCTTTAAAAAACATAACAACCTTTTTTTAATATTCAAGTAGTCCGAAATTTTCTTTTATCTTGTAATCTGAAAGAAATAATATTCTGCACTAGGTTTTATGTCTTATTTTCTGCTTTCTACAATTTTTATGGCAGGGTGTTAAGCGAAATACAACCACAACATTGCTGAGGTATTTGCAAAACTCGGGTGATTACTGACGGCACTTATCGATAGAGCTAGCTGAGAGACAGGCGAAACGAAGGACCCGCATGGTGTGATGGTCAACGCGTTACTCCCGGAAAGGACAATAGCGCGTTCATTCCCCACCGCAGACACCTGTTTTGCAAATATCTCAGCAATGTTGTGGTCGTATTCTGCACTAGATCTATTTAGCGTTCAGGCACACTTATCACCTTTATCACCTGTAGTCCCGTTGATCGCCGATTAATTCGAGCGGGCACCAGCAAACCTTCCATTTTTCCCTGTCGCATGCAATAGTAGCCCAGTGGGTTCTGGTCGATCTACGAACTTGTCGAGCATCATATGTTTTTTCTACGGTTTTTATGAAAGGCTCTGAGCATCAGATTGGTGGTTCTTTTGCTGTACGTTTGACATCCCTAGGAACTAAGACAATGTCAACTCTTGCGCATCGGTTGTCGTTCATACGCATCACGAGTCTGACCCGGCTCACCTTTTCCTCGATAATCTGGCGTATGGGGAGGTGTCTTTAATTTTCGATCGATGAAATGGGTGAGAGCTTCTGATCTCATCACTCGTTTGCGTGATGCATTATAGTCGTAGTATTGCCCTTCGTCTACGTCTTCTATAATGTGCTAAGTCTATAATGACCTTTCATTCTGCTTAAGTAACGGCAAGCTCTCTGACGCATAGGTCATGGAAGGAAGAATCGTGAAGTCGAGAAGACGGGTAAGGAAACGTGTGTTCATTGTTTTCTTCATTACATACTTAATTCACTTGAAAGCTCCTAAAGCCGCTCGCTTCCTCATACTCAACTCTGGGGCTAAGTCTTTCATTATGTTGATTTTCCGACCTAGATAGATGGAGCTGGAGCATTCGGAGATATTCCTACCGTTGAGCGTGAATGCGGCATACGAAACCAAATCGGTTTCATGAACATCGATTTTGCGAGATTCAATCGATGGCTAATCTTTCCATAGGCTTTATCAAAATCGTTCGTTAAAGCATTCGTCCCGCTTGGCTAATGTTTGATGTTATAAGGACGATGTAATCGAATGACAGAAGAAAGTGTAATTGCCGACCATCGATTTTCACTCCAACGTTATCCCACTTCAATGTTCACACGAGGCGTAAATCTCGAGGGTGGTGTAAATAATTTGGGAGCGATGGCATCGCCTTGAGGCTTGTGAAATTGCGAGTTGCCATAAATGCTTCTGGCCGTCGTGACAAACTTGAAGAGCTGCTCACTCTCCGAATATCACGTTCTTCAGACGTTCTTCTATGTACGATCTAAGCGTGAAATTCTCCAGTGATGGACTTAAAGAATGTATGGCCTTTTGAATAGAATTTCTCCTATTCCACATAGAACCCTTTGACTTCGTCCTCGTCATACTTTGATGTCGGCGGGTATGCGACGTAGATTGTCGAAGCCGGTATTGATCCACATCCCTTTAATCGCAAACGTCCGTTGTTGGTTGTTCGAATGAATCGATGACCAAGGCCAAACTCATGTTGACGAGAATGCCAACGCTGCCGACTCCTTTTGTGGATTACAATCCGCATAAACGAAAACACGTTCGTGCAAGCATGCATGAATACGTCTTCAAGAGTACAGTAGGCATGTGCCAAATCCAGGCCTTATTAGCAGAGATTCCATTCCCTTGACCCATCTCAGGGAAGGAATAGTCGCTTTAGTCCACGATTAAGCACTTATCCGCCATTTGGAGGCATGCCACGTTGCCTGGCGACTAACCGTCATAATACCCCTCAACATGGGAGATTGTTTGACCGATGTTCATTATTGCTGAAAAAACTGCTCTTTGTTTCGCTCCTTTCCAAATTGATTGAATTTAGTATTAAATTTTTAAAAATTCAGATTTCGGAAGCTTAAAGAGGATCGCCTCAACGAGCTTTGGAAAGTTCCTTTCAAGACTCTGGAGAAACGGAACGCCAAGGTGCGAAAAATGCAGAACTTGACACCAGCTCTAAGCCATTTTCATAAATAGCTATTTTTCTACCACAGTGATGCTAAGATATGAGCAATGCTTAGAACCTCAGTAGCCTCAGTGGGCTTCGAACCAGCGATTACCCTTAGCAATCTTTTCACAAGAATATTCCTGGCCAAAAAAAAATCATAGCTGTCCTAGAATTGTACAGTTCGCTAGTAAGCGGCGAGGAGCTAAATCACAGAGCAAATAATTTTTCAAGCCGTTAAATCAACATTGGAGCCCTTGCTGAATAAGCAGTTTTGTGGCACAGCCGTATCCTAATTTCAGTAAAGACCTTGGTGTTAAACGTGCGGTTGAAGCTGTGTGATTTAACTTGGAGTTCCTGTTGAAGAAGACTTCAGTCTCACATATAATGAATTGAACAAGTGAAACTGACTCCCTGATATAACTTTGGACTTGTAACCTTCCAGAAACAACGCTTTTGCTTAAAGGGAGTATATTGCCTTTTTTCCTGAATAGCGGATTATACGACATTGGCGTCGCTGCGCTATTGTCATGTATTCAGAGCACAGCCTCAAGTTCGCGTTCTCTGCGGAGTTCGACTACAACTAGTACCAGAGTGACAATCGAGTCGAGAAAGGTTCGTTCAGAAAAACCCTTAATTAGCTATTTCTGTGTCAAGAGTCATAGACCTGAGAACTCCTCTACTGCGGTTTCTTGACACAATCCTTTAACCTCCATCTATCACTTTTTATTGATTTTTCCATTTGTAGTTTTCAACTTCGATGCCACCAAATCCACGAACACTTTTTGTTACCTGCGCTAAAACTTCATATTTGGGATGTTTGAGTAATGTCAACTGTGTTTATTTCTGTTCTCTCGTTCTAACAGTCAAAATTTGAACGATTAAAAAACCTTGGCGTGAACGCGATCCATCTAAGAGGCAAAAACGCAATAAGCGAAGAGAGCAACCGAAATGAAAGTGGGAGGTAAACTCGAGCTGCCTTGGACTCTTAGAGTAAATGACATCTATTCCACAACTACTGTTGAAATTATGAGCGTTGTCGATAAGTTCAGGACACTAATCGCCATTTTTTCTGTCTGCTCGGCGAGGATTCAGTGACAGCGCGCCGGCACACTATAAAGCTGTTGTTGACCAAAGCGGATTGTGCGCTGCTCAGAAAGGTTTGGGATAATGGTATTTGACGTATTACGGACAACAGGAATCATATATGACCTATACACATGTAGGCATTCCAGAGTATGAGTCAAACATGATTTATCTTGCTTAGAACTGTTTTATTGACTTACGAAATTGTTCTACTATTCCCATTTTTACAAGTATTATTAAGTCGGGTTTCCAGCTTATGTTGATGTTCTCCCTGCCATTCAAGAAAACGACAACAACCACAACGATGCTGAGATATTTGCAAAACTCCGGATCGCAGGTATCTGCGGTGGGAAGCGAACGTGCTATTATCCTTTCTAGGGGCTAGTGCGTTCACCGCCACACTATGCATGTCCGTCATTTCGCCTGCCTCTCATCTAGTTCTATCGATCAGCGCCTTCAGCAATAACCAGTCGGCGGGACTGATCTGGGGAGCCCACATCGCCATTGAACCCAGTTAAACTGAGGCTACAGTTGAAATCACAATGCTTACTTTTTATTTTTTGCCTGCAATAATTTTCACGGCTGGATATTGTGCGAAATACAACTACAACGACGCTGAGATATTTGTAAAACTCCGGATCGCAGGTATCTGCGGTGGGAAGCGAACGCGCTATTACCATTTTCGGAGGATAATGCCTTCACCACAACCCTATGCGGGAATTAGCTGAAAGATAGGGGAAACGAAGGGCGCGCATGGTGTGCTAGTGAAAACCCCGGAAAGGGTAATAGCGCGTTCAATCCCGACTGCATACACCTGCCGTCCGGAATTTTTCAAATATTTCAGCATCGTTGTGGTTGTATTTCGCATAATACCCTGCCGAGAAAATTGTTGTAGGCAGCCAATGAAAAGTAAACATTGTGAAAACAACAACAGTTTATCGGGAACTGTCGTTTAGAAAACACCGTTCGCCTCCATTAGTTCCGCAACAAATCTTTGCGCGCACTACATCTACAACAGCATTGAGAAGAACGTGGAAATTCCAAACAATGGAGAACGACGGCTTATGAGAAATACGAACGACAGAGTACATCTTGTACACATTCTTAAAAACCTGTTCAGTATGAAATGCTGAGATATTTGCAAAACTCCGGGCCGCAGGTGTATGCGGTGGGGAACGAACACGCGCTGTTGTCCTTACCGGGGAGCAGCGCACTTCACCACTACACCATCCGGGTCCTTCGATTTGCATGTCTCTCAGCTAGTTCTATCGATCTTTTTGCCATCAGCAATCACCCGTCAACGGGTATATCTATATACGGTTATCAACGGTTTTGCAAATATCTCAGCATTTCATACGAGTTATAATTCGAAACATAACCTGCCATTAAGAAGAAAAAGGCAGTAAATAAAAGAGTTAAAACCTGTTCAGTATTTGGACTAGAATATCCAACAAGTATGAAGGTGACATAAAAGATATTGGTCACGTTTATGGGACAAAAGCCCATCTTTGTGATTTCGTCAAATTCATATTACTAGAGAATTATATTTGCTATATGCTAAATCAAATTGGAAGGTTGGTTTAATCCTCAAAAATGTTTCCAGCCTTGGCAAATCTTGCGCAGAAATCAGCTGGCTGTGAACGGTATTTTCTAAGACCACTTATCATAGAGCGAACTGAATTTTTCATAGATGAAGAACACGGAACACGAAAATCTGTGCAGTTTTGTTGGATTATCGATAGATGGACCACAAATCCTTTCAGTGTGGAGATACTGCTCCCGCGGATCCTTAACGGTGCTCCTTGGACTTTTTCTTTGTAAAGTATACGGTAACACTTTGTTCAAATTAGTTTCAGTCTCTCAACAAAGACCGTTTTGCAGGATGTGATCGAAAAATGTGCAGTGCGAATGGACTGGTTTTTTAAATATTCCCTCATGCGTGATATTTGTGAGGTGCGGCTTCCGATAAGATCTAGGGAATTAAAAACCTTTTGTTTTGAAAGAGAACTACTGCAGAGGAAAAATTCTAGGCTATCTACTTCCTTCATCATTCGTCATTCGGAGCCCACGGTTGGCTGAGTTCTAAAAGCTGCTTGGTCGACGAAAGATGGAAGGTGAGCAACTTTGTGCAGCTGCCAAAGTCATGAACTGCCTGCGGATCCGATTTATCACAGATTTATTCTTCTTTCTATTCTCTTCTTTTTCTATTCTTCTAACTTGGCTTCTAAAGGCTATCGATGACTATTACAGGACGAAATTGATATTCTGCACTCATTCTTCTCCACACTCATTGGTTATTGTAGCTGATTTCAAGTGTTTTGTAGACATTTTTGAATTTTTCAGGTTAAAATCACTTTTTTCGGCTTAGACTCTATTAAAATGAAAGAAGTTAGGAAACGTTCAGGTAGATTTTGAATTTTCCTTGTTTCTTTGGTCCCACATTTATCTCGTCTTCGCTACTGCGACACTTGACATTATTTCAGACTTCCTATGGCTTTCTCCAGAACATATACGTGATCCCCTTTTAGCACCAACAAAAATGGGAGATATCTACAGGCTAGTATTGCCTTTATGTTTAGCTTAAATCTGTAATCATTTGTAATCCCGAAATTGATTAAGTAACTTGAGCCAGCACCGCCTTTACTGACAGGACACGGGAAATATTAAACTTTCCCATATTCCTCATTCCATTAATTCTAGTTACGAGCTAACCACGGAAACCTTGTCAGACCACGCAATTAGACTTTTTCCAACTGTGTCTTAATGTAGAGCTAGTGACCACTTCTTGTCACGAAAACCTGGAGAAGACCGACTAGAATATTCTGTGCGCAGTTGCAATTGAACATCTTCAGCTTTAATACTTACCTGGATACTTGGATGATCCATCCTCACGAGTTGCGCGGACCCCGAAGAACATTTGCCATTCGTTTCTTTCCCTCAAAATCGTTGTCCATGGTGGTGGTCTTGTTCGATCACGGTAGCGCGTGCGAGTCTCGTACCGTGATCTGTAAAATAACTGCAGCTGTGAGTACTGCTGATTAACTTTGTTCACGAATACGTCTGCCCAACGTGTACGTGGCCGTCCAAGGGGATGTTTGCATTTGCATTTTTGCAATTCACTCTACAGTTCTTTTCGTCCATGTGTCGTCACCTTTAATATGATGCATTTCTAACTAAACAGAGAAAGTAAAGCTGTCCAAGTATTAAACTCACGAGAAGGGACATAATGGGAATAACTGTGGATTATAGATTATTACATGGGCTTTTTTAATTCGTTTTTGTTGCAGTGAACTATTGGACTCCTCACTGAAGTTTGTTAAGAGTTAGATTACTTTCCAGCAGACTATAGTTATACATTTAGCTTCGCCATTATCTGCTCAGAGGTCATAACTAAGAAAGCGGCGTGGGACCTTCAAAATCAGGACTACGATATCGATGGTAACCGTCTATAAGTTTATCATAAGCCGTCATTGATGGTTTCGTAAACACATTATATTTGCATTTTACTGAGTTTTGTCAACCATATGAGTTGAAACATTGTGATTTCGAATGCAGCTCCACCTTAAGTTGATGCCATGCCGATTTGTGCTTCCGAGATCATTCCGGAGAGCGCGTCATCGCTGATAGCATCGACAGAGTGAATACAAGGCTTAGAGCAAAACAAAGAAACTTATTTTTAACATGTTTATTTCACAGCTTTCTATTTTCTAACGGTCGCCTATTAAACATACGTATCGCTACCATCCCAGGAAGTGGTATCGCTGCCATCCCAGGAAATACGTCGTTTTGTCGAACCACCTTACGAAACAAACTGGCGAGTAATTTCGTGATTTGGGAAGACGCTAGCACAGCTATATCAAGATCCAGGAGAAGACTACGTTTGGCGAGTGCACTGCCATTTCTTTGTGAAGTGAAGGCGAAAGATTGCAAGATTTCAGTAAATCCTTCACATGAAACCGACCATTGCGTTAGTGAAACATGAAAATATGACAAAATAAAACGAATTGGAGAGATGTTGAGCTCTTCCAAAATTCAGCAACGGACTATCTAATTATTCTGTAAGAGCAGACTGTGATCCAAGACAGTGATTGGTCGGATAATGGTAACAGTAGCCCGAATGCCTTGGTAACCAAAACGGTTACAGAGAAGCTGTTTTCCGAGCGAATGCGATTTGGGTATTGAACTTTTTTCCACTGGGGTGATAAGTTGTACAACTGAGTAGAACGCTTCTCAATTCCGCCTTTCCAAACTGAAAAATACTAGGCTGCCGAAACGTCCATCATTGTTGAATAAGTCATTTTATTAAGAACCTGTTGTCTGATAGCCATGAAAACACCGGCTTCTTGAACAACTCCGAGGTTTATAGGAAGTCGGATATGGGAATTAAAGCGCCTCGAGAACTAAACATAGATAATGAATGAAAATGTGACTTGTGAGCATGTGCGAATCTATCATTAGTGAAGACGATTTCTTTCCTTGCATCATTGGATTTCTATTCCAAATTAGTAGCAGTGTATAAGACTCCTGGAAATCTTGGAATTCATATTTTGTAACTGTGACTCCTATGTATGAACTATTAGCACATTCTGTAAACTTCAGAATTGATACATAAGCTGAAGCGCGGTGGTCGATCGCCAATCAGACCGCTATTAAACACGGAGGGCGACAACAACCCAAGTATGGTGGTGCTGGTGAAGGACTGCTGGAACGAAGAGCCTGATCAGAGACCGTCCTGTGACCAAGTGAAATCGTTTATGAAAGGCTTGAGCGACAAGGAGAATGTCTTTTTTGTTCTTATGTTTTCTTATTTAGTTTTGATACATTAATAATGCTTTTTTAATTTGGATGATGTCCATAAATCTATTGAGTATACAGGATGTAGTACTGTGCGTAGCGCAGTAGTTAGAGTGCTCTGCAATGCACGCACGCCCGTCACGCACATCAAGCTAACCAAACCTTCCATCTTTCCGACGTCGGTAAATTGGTACCAGACTTCTCTGGGGGATAGCGTCACCGGCTCGGTAGGCCACCGCAAGCAAGTGTATAGGCTAGATATCAATTCAGTCACCTCAATCGATGCTTGGTGAAGTCCAGTGCACTCTGCATCCTTCAGGGATTGATCAACACCGAGAGTGTTATCCTCAATCTTTCTTTGTGTGATGTAGGTTCGTAATCAAAATTTTTTCTACCATCTGCTACCTCGATGGTTATCGATTAATTCGACCAGGGAAACAGTAAAACTCCAAATCGTCTGTGCCGCTGCTCTATTCAGTAAGTCTAGATTACTCACTGGACACGAAAAGCGTCACACTTTTTGGTCGAGGACTTTCTCTTTTACCTCTCTTTGAAATAAGAGCGCTCTGTAATAACACAATACGCACTGTGTAGCTAAGCCTTTGGACCATGTAATAGAAAACAATACTTCGTATTAAACCTTCATTTAACTCGAATCGGGTCGGTGGAGAAGGGAGGAGTGTTAGCGAAATAGTGAAATATTATCATGTAAATAAATTAGAATCGAAGAGCATTAAATAATTTTGGCTCTCTTTAGGTCTTCAAACCTGATCGATCATGTCTTTAACATATTGGAGCAATACGCATCAAATCTGGAAGATGAAGTGACGAATTTTCCAACTACTCTTTCATTTTAAATGCAGAATCTCGAGAAGAAAATGTTAAATTAGACCTTTCTACTGAACCTTAAGCGAAGAGAAAACCTTAGCAATGCTTTGTGGGAAAGAGATAGAAATGATTTTCGAGATTATGTCAATAATAGTTCATTTGTCCCAGATTCAAGCTCGGATGAAAGAACTCACGGAGCAGAAGAGGAAAGGTGACATACTGCTCTATCGAATGCTACCAAAGTTTGTTTGGCCTTTCCACTTTATCCATTTTGATTTAAGAAAAGAAGAAATTAGAGTGTCTTGTTTCCTATTTTGGAATATACCTGTACCGCCTAAAAAATTGGCTCAGTGAGAAGCGAAACGAAAGACCTGCACGATGTGGTCGTGAACGCGTTAGTCCCGCAAAGGGTAATAGCGCGTCCGTTCCCCACCGCAGGCATCTGCGATCCGGTTTTGCAAGTATCTTAGCACCAATATGGTTATACCTGTTCCATTCGATGTAAGTTCGGAAAAATCAACATTGTTGAGTGTAGTTTCGCAACAAATATCTTGCTTAGTAAGCTTTCTGAAATGTTCACCAAAATTTTTTGTTTGGAATCAAATTTATGGATTGAAAAAGCTTGATTTTATCACCACGAAGTTTCCATCAGTTTACATCTTCCCTTGTTCTCCCAATGACTTAATAGTGAAGCACTTAACGTTTAAAATCAAAAACTCAATTTGCGTATGAATTTGCTTCCATGCAACCACAACAATCCTGAAATATTTACAAAACTGGGAACTCTAGGCCAGCTTCTAACCCACGACTACCCCTTGAGGAGATACCATTGTTACCCATTAAACAATTGAGCCCTTTGCCTTGCCCTTCTCTCGGCTAGTTGTTTATGAGCGATTGCTGTCAGCAGCGTTGAGGTTTATTATGCCAATAAAGTTTAAGCGCGGAGGTTTTTTTTTCTGCTTGAGTTATGAAAGTGTTTTACCGAGTAGATTGCGGATCAGTCTGACCATCGCAGGCTTCAAGGATGGGAAAACCGCCAAACTAGAGCCAGTATTGAATAAATCTTGTCGTTGAAAAATTCGTGTTTGCTAAAGAAAAAACTAACTTACTGAACAGTGCCAAACTAAGTAGAAACTCGATCCTGGGAACTACTTACAGACAAGTAGCCGAGAAGCTGAAGTTGGGTCAAACGGTGGAGCCAGAGGTTTTCGAGTGCGCAACGCTGTTCTTTTCGGATGTAGTGTCATTCACAACTCTCGCAAGTAAATGCACACCTTTACAGGCAAGTCTAATCTTTAAATCGAATAGACTAAACAATAGAAATTTTTTCCTTTTGAACAGGTGATTGGCTTCCTGAACGATCTCTACACTTTGTTCGACGCAATCATTGAGGAACATGATATCTACAAGGTTAGCTATTAAGCATACTTATAACGATTTAATGAAAGTATAATAAAGTCTCGCAACATTTATTTAGATATTTATGGACTTATTAAAGCACAACTCTTTGTACACTTTAGTAACCATTGTTACTTACCATGCATTCTTAACGTATAGGTGCTTTTCTTTCGTCCAGCACTCTACCGATTACAATAAGTGAACGACTGCTATCCGCTCCATTGGGAAGAGGATTACTCATACGAAATCCATATCATGTAATTCTTCTATCACAAAAGTCAAAAAAGTTCACATAAACAGACAAATGCATGGTTGGACTGTTGTTGTCAATTCAAAAGTGGTGGCATCACCACTGGGGCATGTGGTGTGACGCTCTTGACACACAATCAAATCGTAGACGTACCGAGTTTTGTAACTCCTTGTACGGCTGTTAGCAGATTCATTGTATTGTACCTTTACCGTGGCTGATATCCCTCATAGGAACTCGTGACAGACGATGGAATGCAAAAATGCCTGATTAGTTAGAACAATGACTGTGGAACTAAAAGTAGAAAGAAGCTTCCCCTTCTAATCTTCATGATGAGGCCTCCAAAAACTTTTCAATAAATTTCATGGCTACGTCTTGCTTTTTCTGTGCCAAGTCTCGCATCTCATTCTACAATGATCTTTTTAAAGCACTCTTTTTGACACGAGAAAAAACGGGAGCAGTATATTCACTCCTTGCAGGTGGAGACGATCGGCGACGGTTATCTTTGCGCCTCGGGTTTACCTCAACGTAATGGTAACGAACATGCGAAGGAAATCGCCGATATGTCGTTCGAACTGCTACGAGCCATCAAGGAATTTCGCATTCCACATCTACCTAATGAAAGAGTCAACATTCGTGTTGGAATTCATACAGGTCACCAATCTCATCATTGTTTTCGCTCCGTAGCAGATTTCCATTCACTAGCTATACCAGTTTTGAAAACTAAATTGATCACATGGCAGGTTTTTTCAGTATTAATGAAAAGAACTTCATTGTTTGACGTCAAATCCTGGTTAGAAGCCTAATTAGCATTTGCATAAGTATATGGTTACTGAATTTACTCAGGAACCATGGAAGGCCGCTACTCTGTAAAAAGTACTGTAGAATTCCGTACCGCCACAGGTATTGGGATATTCCGAATTTTAGACAGCAGCTGTTGAACCCGCCCAAGTGTTCCTTTCTTAAAAGTGAATTCTCATGGAATCTTTTGCTCTGATGCGACTGCCCACGAAACACAGTTCCGTTCTATTTTCGATCAACTTTTGGCAGCTTTCCAATCCTATGTTGACCGTAAAGGTCTTCATGTTATAGAGCTGATATGTAAAAGTTTTTTGAAACGGTTTAATTAAGAGTCATGTTCATTATTCAATCTCTGGTCGGTGCCTGACTTTGGTCCATATGAGTGAAAATGAAGGGCATAGACGATGGTGTTCTTCAGCGTTTCGAAACCATCGGTGAGATGTGCATTGACGATTTCAAAACCATTATTGGCCCAGGACAGACGTAGTAGGACAGATTGGTTCAGCTCTACGATTTAGAGTCATGCTGTAAGATCTAGTGGTTTTGGGTCGCTTCTGCTACCAAATTAACCCATGGTATTTATTTATTTAATCTTATAAATTGATCTTTTTGAGCTGATGCGAGGTTGGTATAGGTCTTCGTTGTCGTTGTTGTTGTTGCCGTTATCATTGGTCTTGGTGTTGCTGGTCGATGGCTGACATTTCGGCGATTTTGCCTTCCTCAGAGCCGAGACGTATTTTATGTAACAGTAGTCTTGTATTCAGTGAAATAATTGTGTCTTTAAATATCTTTTGAACTATTAATCCATAGTAACCTGCAGCCTCTTAGATGTCAGATTCTCGACGGGGACATTATGAGGCTTACTAAATCGTCCATCTACGGACTAATATCATGAACATTTTGCACAGAAGCAATGCTAGCCATCAAAGAAGAAAGAAATGGAATTGCTAGTTGAAAGTGGAACACTTATCACGTCATCCCTTGGAATTTTGTAAATTCCAGTGCTACGAAGATCACTTCTCCGGATCTGGATAGAACATTCATTACATTCAAAAACTTATTTGATAATTGAATGGCCCGTCCTCACTGGTTGTGCGGGCTCCAGCATAATGTCCATTTTTCGGAGATCTGCTGGTTAACCTATTGTGGTTTCCTGGAATCCCGATGTCAGCCTAGCCGAAATCTGCCCCAGGTCTACACCACCGCAGGCAGTCGCCGTCCTTGTGGATTAAAGGAAGATTTACCACCCTGCGACTTTGGTACCAGGACGGTGGTGGATCCTGGTATTGGTTTATTCTTAGCTCGGCTTCCTGATAAAAACGCCGAACTCCTTCTGAGCTTGGGAGACCCTACCAGGGGATGAATCCCCCACTATTCATCGCAGTCCGACACCCAGAAACACCTCCCAGCCACGATCAGGAGGTAAACCGTTGGGAGGTATTCAAAAACATTGTAGAAATAGTGGAGATAGTTAGATAGTTTGCGTCAGTGTTATTCTCTTTTGGAACTGTGATTTAGTTTTTTAACGACAAAAAATATAAGCAACTGATTTCCATAGTATTAGATCCATTCGTCTAGAAAATCCACCACCGGTAAAAAAACATTTCATGGGTTTTCTTTCAGATAATGAGAAATCATGAAAACTTTTCCATTTTGTGGTAACGGAAGTTTACGTAATGTCTATAACTATTATCTAGTCTGCCAACGGTCTGTGCTCTACAAGCTTTTCAGTTGAGTCGCACTCAGCAAGACTAAGAGAAAATTGAATGAATGAAAGCCATAAAAAGGCGATTGGCGGTGTTTACACGAAAACAAGACGGACTGAAGTACAACATGAGCATAAGAAGCCGTTGTCTAACACCTTCATCAACAGTAGTCACTCTAATTTTCGGACACCTTGGCTGCACTAAACAATCAAGAAATTCTTAATAAATGCATAAGGTCCCATCAATTGTACATTAAGAACAGTATGGATGTACCTTCACAGCAATCTCGTCAACTTGAAGAAAACTCGACAAGGTAATAATAGTCGTCGGAAATTTCCATACTATTCAGCATTAGCCAGGAAAAAGGAATGCTGGACGATCTTGACGCCTCACATAGAAGGGCCGTCTATTAATGAGTCTAGCCGTACTCATTAAATACGAATGCGGTTTGACGCCCCGTCACTACTTAATGGAACAAATGTTTGTGTGTCCGGCTATTTATACCAATTCGGTCTGGAGTTTTATATAATGAACAACTTATATCGCTAACTGAGAAACAAGGAACTGATTTCGGTTGTTTACAAAAACACCATTGATGCTCACATCTTCAACTCCTCGTCTCTTCCTGCTCCAATATTCTCACTCGAGTCACTTAGTGGAAAGCTAGAAGGACAGCGGAACAGGTAATGAACCACGAAGTGGAAGTGTTGTTAGGCATCAAAATCTTCGATAACGCTATCCTCGAATAAAATTTATTTTAAAGATGCCTATTTTACCACACTCGAACTGTTTGTGCCACTTCCGTGAGTGTCATAAACATCATATTTAGATGTGCAATCGATTTAGGACCAGTAGTGACCGGAGTAGTGGGTATTACCATGCCTCGATACTGTCTTTTCGGTGACACTGTTAACACCGCCAGTCGCATGGAGAGCAATGGGAAACGTAAACAACATTCTTCTTCAAGTTTTTTAACTTCTGATTTTTGCTTTGTTTCTGATTCGCTCTCTATTAATAGGAGTGTTTCAGCCGGTCGAATTCATATTTCCACGGATACTATGAAGTTTTTGACCGAAGTGTTTGGTGGCTATAAGACAGAGCCACGAGGAGAAGTAATAGTTAAAGTAAGTGGTGTGGAAGAAGAACACTAAAGGGAGTGATCTCTATATACTGATTGACTATATACCGTTTTCCTTCCTATATTTCAAGTGGTGTCATCACCCTTTCGATGATTGTTGTTTTCCTTCTTGTTGATGGTGTTATGTCGAAATCCATTCCGATCTATTACCAAATGTCTCCATTCACATGGTGCTTAGCCAAATTCTTCTTGATTTAGGGCAAGGGAACTGTGGAAACTCATTGGTTACTCACACCTGAGGAACAACATCAATCTAACAGCTGATTTAATACCTAGTGACATTCTAAATTATTGTTGCCAAGTCGTAGGTTCTGTTTTAGTGCATGAGGATGCAGCTACCCACTAGTCAAATTTTGCTCCCGAACTGAGCTTCTACCCTAAGCTGTTTATGTAGTCATTACATAAGAAAAATAGTAAGTATTTCATAAGCGTATATTACTTTATATGATCTATACGCCGCATGATGTGAATATTTCACGATTATCTACTTCTCATTTGTCGCGTAACTTGACATCTTGCGCCCTTCATTCTACAAACAGTTATAGAAACCTCAATATGTTCTTAAATGGCATGAGTATGAGTCCTTGTCGATTACGTCTTCATTTTCGTTGTCGTTTAATAAACACACACGTTTCGCCAACCATCGCTTATAGTCAGAATAAATAATGTTATGTATAATCCAGCTAACAAAAAGTTGGTACAAAAACTTCTATTCGGTTGCGTTTCGGCGCTTTTCCATCCTCATAGACATTTTTTTCCGAGTAGATGGTCCACAGTCAGATCCGAAGAAGGCAAAGGCGATGAAACGCTAGCCGAATATAGAAGAAATTAGTCTTGTGTCAGCACAATCGTACAGAAGGTCGTTGATTACTGTCGTTCAGCAATCGCGAGTTTGTTATGCAGCACACGTTTACTTCCACAGAAAAACACAACACAATGCAACAATAGCTGAAGTTTCGGCAGTATCGCCTTCTTCAGAGCCTGGAAGGGTATGCTGATATACAATCTACTAGGTCAAACGCTTCAATAACACTTACAAAAAGACGAAAGACTCTTTGGTAATTAAACGATCAACAACTCGAAAAACCCACCACTTTTTCGTGACTTCCAATGAAAAAGGTTGGAACAGCTGATTATAGTCGGATATGTTTTTAAACGTTCAAATAAGCCTATCAAGTAGTGGTTACATGACAAAGTGGTGCCGATAGCCAAGTAACAAGAACGTCTTCGATACGCTTTTGTATCCTATGCGTGCCTAGTAGGGCACTTTATCTTGCTTTTCGTTTGCCATCTAGGTGTTCTTTTATACAGATACACAAGGATCTGCCCGTTTCGCCAATATATTCATCTCCGCAATTATTACAAGAGATAAGGTTTATCGTACCTGAACTCATGCAATCACCGTCCCTGCCGTAAGAGCAAATTACGCAATTTGTTGTTTCACATAGACGGTCATAAAAGCAGTTACGAACTAACTGACGACGTAGTCCGGTGGTATTTTTACGCATCGTTTTATAGCTACGCTTACTTCACCGCTAATGAAAGATAACATATACGGAACTTTCTTTTGCCCAGGTGTTTCGTTTTGGCGTGTCGCTCTCCTTCCAAGCTTATCTCGTGTGGTAAGTACTCCGTAGCCATTGGAGATGGCTATTTGCCGAGGCAAGTCGCTCGATTCTTTCTTTAGTTCCCTACTTGTGCACACGCTGGTGGCAGCTGGAAACATGTTTCTCACAAGTGCCTTCTTTGTGTGAAAAATGCCAAAAACCCTACAATGAATAGCAGGGAGGAATGCCCAGAGGTCACACGCGTATGTTCGCATCAATTTCTGATGTGGGATGGTGCAGTCATCAACCAAATGCGAATATAATCACCTGTTCTAATCTTCCTCATTGGAGGTCACGAAAAAAGCGGTGAGTTTTTCGAGAAGCTGTTGATCATGTAGTTGGTATAGAGTTTTTCATCCTTTTATATGTGCTATTGAAGCGTTTGGCCTAGTAGACTGCATATCAGTATACCCTTCCAGGCTCTGAAGAGGGCATACTGCCGAAACGTCAGCTACTGTTGTATTGTATTGTTTTTCTATGGAAGTAAATGTATCCTTTATAACAAACTCACGATTGCTGTACGAGAAAACGACGCATTAGTATCCCTATGCCGAAGTTAATAGAAAGTCGATCCTGGGAACTGTTAATTGTTGTTATCGAACTTTAGTGAAAGTCGGTTGTTAAGATATTGATAGCCAATATTGTTATTTAAAGATGGTGCACTTTTTTTCGGTTTTGTTCTGAGTTTCCATCTGTCATCAGAAAGACAGGTATTAGGGCTCAGATTCCGTGAAAACATTTGTCGTGTTGTTTAAATAATGGAACTTTTTGTCGTGGCTATGATGCTCAGGATCCAATCCTAATCGTATTTTAAACGGGTGATCTGTCCAGGACTAGGACTACGGAAGGTGATGTGTGACAGATCAGCACAGCTGTTTGACTTGTGTGTTAATTTTAAGACAAAGGTGAAAGCTTCTTACAGAACACCGCATTTTGAACTAGTTTGGCCTTCTTTTTCTCCATAGCAACAGAAAGATTGCCGAGCTGCAATTTGCAACACTTAATGCCTGCCTTCTAATTTGTCATAAACAACTATCGGAAGATTTCGCACTGTATTCCTCACAAAACGGACAATGTCAGTTTGCGATTTTGTAGATCGTACTCCGACTATGCAGACGCGCGTTCCATGTTGAGAAGCTAAAATACATTTTGTCTACGATATTACCTAAATGCGCCCAGCTACAACAAAGAAGAAGTCAGAAGCTTCCCAAGCAGTGAAAGCCCGTAAATTTCGATAACTTCAATGCGAAAGTGGATCAGATAACCTAAAAGCAAGCACACAAAGGATACCACCGGAAGAAAAATAGAATGGTGAAGAGAGGAACAAATAGTGATGACTACGAATGAAAGTTGTCACTTTGTTCGGCCCTCATTGCATCTCTGCCCTTTATGGAGATGCCAGCGTCCGTAATTACTCAAGTGCCTTTAATTTGTAATTATAATTCCAGGTCATAACAATGGCAATACACATGGTATAGATCCCGCGTTCGTGGTTCACCAATTTTTCCATCTTTCCGGAGTCAGCAAATTGGTACCAAACTTGTCTGTTGTTATCGAACTTTAGTGAAAATGAAAGTGGGAGGATAGCAGCAATGGGTGGATGCATCGGTAGGCCAGCGGGAGTCATTGTAGAGGCCAAATATCTATTCAAAAACCTCTAACGATGCTTAGTAAAGTCGATTGCATAGCGCGCCACTCTGGGATTGATCAACGCCGAGAGCTTTATCCTTCATCCTTTTTTGTGTGTCGTACCTCCCAACGGTTTACCGCCTCATCGTGGCTGAGAGGTGTTCTTGGGTATCGGACTGCGATGTACAGCGAGAGATTCATCTCCTGGCAGGGATGTCCAAGCTGAGAAAGAATCCGACATTTCCATCAGGAAGCCTAGCTAAGAGTAAACCAATACCAATACCAGAATCCACCACCGTCATGATATGAAAGTCGCATGGTGGAAAATCTCCCTCTGATCCACAAGGGCTGCCACTGCCTGTGCTGGTGAAGACCCGGAGCAGGCTTTGCACAGACTGACCTCGGGATTTCAGGGAACCACAATGGCTTAACCAGCAAATCTCCGAAAAATGGAAATTATGCTGGGGCCCGCACAACCAGTGAGCACGGGCCATTCAAGTGTCAAGTGTCAAGTATGTGTTGTATATGTAAACATGAATTTTTGCCAGCAATTGCTCAACAATTCATTTCCAGTAACTATGGTGGATTATGGTTACTTGAGCATATGTTAGGAATCCGAGCACCAAATACTGACAGCAAAACCGTTCTCTAGCCGACGAGTTTTCTTTCGCGGCCCATAAGAGTTTGAAGTGCTTCGTAAGCATGGCGGAATACATAAAAAACCTGAACGATATGTGGAAAACTATGTTGCCGAAAGTACTAAACTTTTCAACAACTATGCTGAGCTATGTGATGGGAACACAGTTACGCCGATATGTAGATATCCACTCAGTGTGAGCGCGCCAGAAAATTACGTGCCAAATAAATGCGTCAGCTACACGGATGAAAATGGCAATTTCGAAATGCTAAACGTTTTCAACTCCAAACGAGCTGATACATGGATACTTGGATACTTGGATGGTCCATCCTCACCAGTTGTGCGGACCCCAAAGCACATTTGACAATCATTTCTTTTTCTCGCAATCGTCGTCCATGGTGGTGGCTTTGTTCGAGTATGGTGGCCCGTGCGTGTCCCATACCGTGAACTGTAAAACAGCTGCAACTGCGGGTACAGCTGATTAACTTTGTTTACGAACACGTCCGCCCAACGTTCAGGTGGTCGTCCTAGGGGACGTTTTCATTCTCGTGCAATCCACTTTACAGTTTTTTTCATTCATCTGTCTGGAACGATCTGATAAGAATAGGAAAGACAGTGGCCCGTGGAAAACCATCACGAAGGATCACGTGGAACACGGAATAATAACTCAACTCTGTCTATAACAAAATCCTTCTTATAATCCAATTACAGCTTCATTAGCAACGCTAGAAGCTGATAGGTAAGGTTGTGTGTGGCTTCAGATTTCCACGAACGATACCAGAAAATACATTAACGCTGTAACAGAAAAATGTTCCAGCCATAATTATAACAATGGTCGTGGTGTGGTAGGAATGAAATAAATTGTAATTTTGGAACCGAACGTCATTTAAACTCGGGTTGATTGACGATCGCTTTAAAAATTATCGTTTTGCTCTTCGCTATGTGCCAGCTAACAATAATACCGACGACTGCAGGATGGATTATCCGTTGAAAAACAAACTATTATTAACGGACCGTCCTTATCAGCTGCAAACGTCTTGTATGAAAGAGTGCTGCCGGATGACGTTGGCTCGTTTGAACGGCGCTTCCCTGAAGAAGAAGCGATTCGCCACGGGGACGAAGTCGCCACGTGGGAAGAGTAGCAACTGTGGTCTATCGACTCGGATCGCGGGCTCTGATAAAGACGAAGATGTCGAAACGTTAGACAAATAAACATCGTTATCAACCTCCTGTAAGCTCAACAATATAAACACATATAAATTGTACATCTACTACGATTTATTACGTCCATTTATGCAGTTTCACATTTTTCAAGAAGTTGACCAATCGTACCTAAATTTGTTATAGAATTCTTTTGCGTAGAGTATTTCTGGTCCCAAAATAGGCAAGAA